AAAACCTGGTTTTGAAGGAAAGAATATAGATTTTAAACATCAATAAATAAGAATGTAAAAGAAGAAAAAGACCATGATAGATTAGTCCTACCTAAGCCTCTTTAATGCTAAACTGTCTTCTCATGTCAGATTTGTTAGAATTTTGCATTTTACAGCCTCTGAACAAATGTGATACAGTGAGTGGGACCATGAGGTGAAAATTTAGTGCTGTATTGCTGGCTCCTAAGAGTGGGCAATCCCTTGTGCCTATTTCATTGGGGCCCATCCATGACAGGCAACTTCCTTTCCATTGATTTACACAAGCCTGCGGAGGATACTCTTATCCCAAGAGACAGAACAACTCCCCTTTACACTGCCTGGAGAACGGTGGGGATTACTTTCTGTTACTGTTCTGTTCTGGAATTTCAACAGCAAATGCTACTATGCCACATTAAATCAATCAAGGCAAGATGACATGGGCAAAACCTGATTTTATTAAACTCAAAGTATTGAAAACAAACACGATGCAATTATATCCATTTATTTGGCTTCGTATCATACTTGCCCCCCCCCCCAAACCCAAAGTCTGCAAAGCTAAAGCCTTTCACTTCTATATTCATGTGGCTCACACTGCTGAAAATTGTATTTAGCTGTATCAAGACAACCTGTTTCCCAATCACTTGTTTTTACTCCTTTTCTCCTCCTTCCTCCTGCTTCTCTCATTGTTAATAATAATAATAAAAATAAAAATGATAATAATAATAATAATAATAATAATAATAATAATAATAATAATAATAATAATAATAATAATAATAATAATAATAATAGTAAAGTTGGAAGGGACCTTGGAGATCATCTAGTCCCTATACCATTTCGGACAAATGGCTGTCCAGTCTCTTCTTAAAAACCTCCAGTATTGGAGCATTCACCGCTTCTGGAGGCAGGTTGTTCCACTGTCAGGAAGTTTAATTGTTCTAACTGTCAGGAAGTTTCTCCTTAGTTCCAGGTTGCTTCTCTCCTTGCTTAGTTTCTACCCATTGCTTCTTGTCCTGCCCTCAGGCGCCTTGGAAAATAGCTTGACTCCCTCTTCTTTGTGGCAGCCCCTGAGATATTGGAACACTACTATCATGTCCCCCCTCGTCCTTCTCTTCATTAAACTAGACATACCCAATTCCATCAACCTTTCCTTATATGCTTTAGCCTCCAGTCCCCTAATCATCTTTGTTGCTCTTCTCTGTACTCTTTCTAGAGTCTCAACATCTTTTCTACATCGCGGTGACCAAAACTGGATGCAGTATTCCAAGTGTGGCCTTACCAAGGTCTTGTAAAGTGGTATTAATACTTCACGTGATCTTGATTCTATCCCTCTGTTAATGCAGCCTAGCACTGTGTTGGCTTTTTTGGCAGCTGCAGCACACGGCTGGCTCCTATTTAAGGGATTGTCCACTAGGACTCCGGGGTCCCTTTAATCTTTAATGTCTGACATAACACTGTGCAATGTAGAGGGAAGAAGAAAGGGGAAAGCTTACACACTCCCAGTTTTGAATAGCTTGGTATTAGAGAAATACATTCTGAGAGCCAGTTTGGTGTAGTGGTTAAAGCACCCGGCTAGAAATGGGAGAGTTATGAGATATAGTCCTGCCTTAGGCACAAAGCCAGCTGGGGGGGCATTGGGCCAGTCACTTTCTCTGAGCCATAGAAGAAAGAAATGGCAAAGCACTCCTGAAAAACCTGCTAAGAAAACTACACGGAGTTGTTCAGGAAGTTGCCAGGAGTCAGCACCAACTCATGTCAACA